TGTTAGAGTGATTGTCATTTAAAAAGATGTTTGTGTAATTCATAGTGATCCACTCGGAGACGGTTATCGAACTCTCATCGTATAAGTAAATCATTAATTCCCCCAAATCATCATAATTGTCACTAGTCGCCTTTGTTGAAAATTCCATTTCATCTGTTTCTAATACATATCGTCGGTCATTCTTTTCATAAATAGAATTAAATTGATTTGAAAAGTGTCTATGTTCTTTCCTCAATTTATTTATTGAACACTTTCTTCGTGTTTTTGTTGTATTACTCGACGTGCCTTTCAACTGTTGAAACTGTTTGTTGTAACTAAATGTGAGCGTCGAATTATTTCTAAGCTCAAAAATGTTGTCCAATAGAATATTCCCATACCCTACAAACACTGAAGTGTCATATAACCGCAAATTCGTCACCGTCAACTCTTGTTCGTTTAACTGAAACACTGCACTTCCACGAACAATCACATCACCATAAACATTCAACGAACATGACACATATGGCATTGTATAGTCACTATCAAATACTAAATCCCCCATTATAGTGAGTCTTGATTTGGTCCCTAATTGAAAACTTTTGAGTTCATTCAAATTGGTCACTCCACTCACTGTTGTATTCACATAGGGAGAAACTATTATACCACCCTTTGTCTTAAACATCCCAACGTCTATTGTCAATTCACAATTGTTCTCAATTTCTAATGTCGGCGCAACGTCAAACGCACTCAAACAACTCTTTGTCATCACAAAGTTGTACATTACTGATACTGTCGTGCATTTCCTTGTCTCGTCACTTTTCTCGCCTGGAAGTTAGTGGTACTCTTTTGAAACCCTTTGCCAATGGTAATAACATTGATACGTGAACTTAAAGTAATAAAAAACACACCATTCTCAAGAAGAAATCCGATGGAACAATCTACACCTATTGGACGGCATGTCATCGAGTACATTGGCACTATCAACATAAACACCCAAATAGGTACCTCCATTGGTTTTTTTATTATTCAGTTTTTATTCTATATTTTCAAATAAACAACAAGTATTCTTGTTCTCATGTTTGTTGATTTTGTATTCTATACTTTGTTAATTTAATATATTAGTTTTATGGTTTAGTTTTGCCACATTACAATGACTTCTATCATTTTACTTGGGTCTTAACCGATTAAAAGATTATCACACCATAATCTTTATTTATAATTAATTAGAACGGCAATCTATTCATTATGGTATTCAAATCGTATAATTATACCTTTTTTATAACTCAGATACATCAAATTGGTTGGTAATAATAAATAACTCGGCATTTTATCTTTTGGTGGAACTCTTCTTTTTCTAATTTTTAACAACACTTGGATAACTATTTATTATAATAAATATACCATTATCAACTAATAATATTATTTTTACATAAAATAAAAGAGGCAAAGTCCATCAAACTAAAAAAAGTTTAGTTTTTTATAATAAATATTTAATAAAAAAACAATTAGAACTGAGCTTGTGGTTGAAAAAGCTTGAAATTGTCCTGATATAAAGTCCAGCTATTATAATAATAATAATATATTATTATATTATATTATATTATATTGATATAAGGTATTATGTAACGATAAACACCAATAATTCGAAATTGATCTTCATCTTTAAGGACAGGAAAGGTCATTCTTCTTTTTTCAATTTCTTCCTTTTTCAAAATGTAGCACAGACATTGATCTTCACTTTCTTTCCCTTTACAAACGGCTGTACCATATGGATCATATATTCGACTTTCTCCTAAGAATATCAAGTCATCGTTAGACTCACCAGAACTTCTTGCGTCTCCATACACACCCCAACAATTTGAAGCCAATACAAAACACTGATTTTCAATTGCTCTTGCTTTTGTAAGTGTTTTCCAATGCGTGCGGTTTCTTGCACTCCAACACCCAACAACTATCAAAACGTCATACAAATCGCTTTCTTTGTTTCGCAAAAAGACTGGGAAGCGAACGTCATAACAAATTGCTAATAAAAACTTCCACCCGTTGTACTCTATAATCACTCGACTTGATCCACTCTTGTAATTGTCATCTTCATTACCCATCGTGTATAAATGTTTCTTGTCATAGTACAAATAAGTGCCATTGGGGTATACAAAGTACATTCTGTTTTTAAAACCCTCGCCTACTCTCACAGCAATAGAGCCAGTAATTGCACACCGTTTCTTAATAGCAATGTCCTTCATCCACTCAAGGGTTTCTCCGCCCTCTTCCTCTTCTCCTATCAACTTCGCATCGGGATGAAATCCAGTATTAAAAGTCTCTGGAAGCACAAACAAGTCAATTTGGGTTTCTACAGAATCAATCAAAGAGCGAATGTGCTTCAAGTTTTCACTTTTCGACCAGAAGATGATGTGTGGTTGCACCACGCAGACCTTCATTCTCTTAATCTAGATACTTGATTTGTGTTCTAATAATCTATTATAATCTATTATAATTAAATTATAGTATTTGTCTAGTTTCAAAAATATAAAGATTATGTACTAGTATTATTACTATAAATATACCAATCAATTCAGCATCTTAGACGCTACTCCACCAATTGAAATCCAACATATTTTTGGAAGAGCGTCTTGAACTTGTCTATTGTTGAAACGTATCCAAAGAACAGAGCAAGTGTCTCTGCACAATTTGTTTCCAAATCGTCGTGTTGCTCTTCGCTTTCATTCTTTAGTTCTTTTATTGTATTCAAATACTCCAGAATGAGTGCAGAAAATGGTTCCTCGGGGTCGTACAGATTCTTTGGAAGAAACAGGATTTCCAGTCCAGTGATTTGGTCTGTTCCAGCCTTCTCAAGTGGAGGTTTAAAAAAGTCGTTGACCAATAATAAACTCTTTCCCTTTCTTTCTATCACCATCTTCACCTTTGCGTTGAAGACATTTCTGAACCAAACTTCAACCATTTGGTCAGTCAAGTATGGGTGACTCGAGTCGACCACAATTGACTTCTCTTCCATCTTCTCGGAGAGTGTATATCCTTCTTTAATAGCAAAAATGGGATGGAAGATATCACCAAGAATCGACCCAGCTGTAAATCCAAAAGAGAGTCTTGACCCTCGAGTTATTTGTTGTTCACGTCCAGTTGTCTCACTCTTCACGTAACATGGGATTTCCGACTCGTCGAAAAATTGGTACCCGACTTCGTCCGCTATGAATACGTTTCCGTTCGTGTACACCGCGCACTTCTCTCTAATGATCTCTCGCACTTTGACACAAGATAATTCGTCGTCGAATATAATAGTGACGGGACATGTCGATAATTTGAGTTCGGTGTCTGCTAACAGTTTCTTTTCTGTGAGAAAGATGGTTGTGTATGAGTCGATAGTATTGTTAGTGATGGCTTGTGGTGCATCAGTGGGATTCGGGGATGAAGTGGCCATTTCAATGAGTTCGGCCTTTGCCTCGTCTTCTGACTTTCCCATCACTCAATTTCTTAAGTCTTTTTTCAGTCTTTTCACTTTTTGGATTCTTTTGATAAAAAAGATTTTGAAGAATAATAAAATGGTTTATTTCATAAAAAAAGTACTAATAAAGAAGATTGAATTTTTTGAATTAATTTATAAATAAATTAAATAATAATTAAAACAACTAGTAATTTAACTATAATTTAACTATAATACAAACGACAATTTTAACTATAATATAAACTATACTGTGTGTTAAAATTCGGGAAGTGGTTTGGCTTGAGAATTAATTTCTTTCAAAGCAAGGCGAAGAACACTTTTCACGTGATTTGTGAGGGAGATGAGTTTCTCTCTTGATGTGTGTTTGATGCCTATAGCTACAACCAAGTTATCGACGCCATTTAAGAACTCCATAATTTGTCGAGTAAAAGTCGAATTGAATGGATCAACTTTGTTTGTAATCCCAAATCGTACTTCAAGTGTTGTTGGGGTGCAGACTATCCACTGTGAAAAACAATTGCAGTCACTCAAACAGATCATCATAGTCTTTGAGTCATCGTATTGAGTAATGGTCATGTCAACCTTCTCGCCAATAACAACAGAACTTGTGATACAATATTGCCGCTCTGTGCCTTTCTCTATTTTGAATGTAATGGCGTCTGTTGTTTCTGACATGTTAGTCTGCTTTATTCAGTTAAAAAGATATCCAGATATCAATTAATAAATAATAAAAAATATTATATTTAACTAGTAAATGAAAATTATAATAAAAATTACTCGTTAATTATTAATTGAACAAAAAAACCATTTTCAATTCTAAAAGAAACAAAATGTTAAAAAGAATTAAAAAAAACTATAATTTCAATTCTCTTGTAATGAGTGAAGAAATTAACTTCACCATTACAGGCGTTCCTATCCACTTTCCATATAAGTATATCTACCCCGAACAATACTCATTCATCAAAACAGTGGTGAGTGGTGTAACTTCCAAGACACCTCCTCACAAACAGATTGTCATAGAAATGGGAACGGGCACTGGGAAAACAGTATCGATCATTACAGCCGGCAAAGGTCTTCTAGGAACCACTGGAAGTAACGTCGACCATGTCATTTATTGCACAAGAACCGTCGACGAAATGCGACAAATATTCAAAGAACTGAAAGTCCTTAATATTCCCGCGGTAGCACTCGCGTCACGAAAACATATGTGTCTTCTCGAAGATGTTCGCGACAGTCCACACGCGTCAGTGTTGTGCAAGGAAAGACGTGAGAGTGGGTTTTGTCAATATTACCAAGACATAGAAGACATCAATATCCCCCCAATAGCGGGTGTCGACGACTTGGTTGAGTTTGGGAAGAAAAATAGACGATGTCCGTACTATTGCTCGCGTCGAAACTTCTTTAAAAGTCCGTTTATAGTCTGCACATACAACTACTTAGTCGATCCTAAAGTCGAGAATGTGACGATTGGTAAAATGTCCGATTTGCATAGGACTCTATTAGTCTTCGATGAGGCACACAACATCGACAATGCCTTTGTCGACGCGCAAACGATGAGTCTATCCCTCGAAACAATCGAACTTGCCACTGTCTCATTAACAAGACTCTCCAAATTGTTAACAGCGGAGAAGTCCAAGGAGAGTCTTGAAATGGAGTATAACAGGTTGGTTGAAGGCCTTCGAAGATCGCAAGCTATTTATGAAGACGGGGAGCCTTATTTCTATAACGAAACAAAGAAGAATGAGGCTGGCGAGGACGTTCCTTATGACAAAGTGCTTCCCGGGAGTTTCAGAAATTCGTCCCAGTTTGTTGCGATCTTAAAACGTGTTGTCAACTTCTTTAGAGAACGATTGCACGAGGCGCAATCGAAGAAGGATCAACGATTGAAAGGGCAACATACTGCGCAAGTGAAGGATATTGTTACCTTGTTGTGTGATGTGTTAGTCATTCCTCCAGAAATCATCAAGTCGCTACCAACACGCCTCCGAGTGTTAATTAAAACCCTTGGAGATGAGGGAGGGGAGAGGAAAGATGTGACTGGCGACCACTTTTACTATGACGCGTTATATTTAGTAGCGGACTTTGCTGCGTTGTTGTGTATTGGACAAGAAGGGTTTTCGTATGTTCCCGATGTCGTAAAAAATGACGAAGACAATGAGGTGCATCCCATTCTGTATTTGGTGTGTGTCGATGCGGCAAATGCGGCGCAGAATGTATTAACCAAAATGCACACAACACTCTTCACGTCGGGGACGTTAGCCCCTTTGGACACATTCATCAAGTTACTTGGGATGAATAACGTTGTTGAAAAGAAACAAATAGTTTCCCCGGTCTGTGGTGTCGGTCGGCGGATCTGTCCGTTGTTTGTGACGAAAGGGTTTGATCGTATTGCCGTCTCGTCACAATTAGCGGACGCGAAGATGTCGCAATTGCGCGGTGATGGCTTTTCAACGCAATTTCCGTTCCGAGCGGACCGACTGATTTTACACTCCTATGGCAAATTGATTGTTGAGTTATCGAAAATTGTTCCTGATGGTATATTGTGTTTCTTCCCTTCATATGTCTACATGAACTTATGTATATCACATTGGGATGAAATGGACGTGATTGGTAACATTTTACTCAACAAATTGCTCTTCATCGAGTCGAAGAATGCGGAGGAGACATCAATAGCGTTTCAGAACTATCGATTGGCATGCCATTCGGGGAAAGGTGCGGTGATGTTGGCTGTTGCGCGTGGGAGGTTGAGTGAAGGAATTGATTTTGCGGACCATCTTGCACGAGCTGTTGTTATCATTGGAGCGCCGTATCAGCAAACAAGCCCTATCCCTATACAAGAACGATTGAATTACTTGGATAAGAAAAAGGTGATAGCAAAAGAGGACTATTTTGTGTTCGATGCGATGCGCGCAGCAAATCAATGTGTTGGGAGGTGTCTACGTGGTAAAATGGATTACGCTGTTGTTATTTATGCGGACAAGAGGTACAAATTTAATGACGCTAAAATCTTGAATACAATGCCACAATGGATTATAGACGCTTTAATGAAACAGAACGCAGACTTGTCCGCTGATCAGAGCGTCGTTATAGCTAAAGACTTCTTGATGAAAATGAGTTTCTCTTTCGACTCCGATTTTCCTTTGGAAGATATGGTAGGAAAGACACTCTGGACTGAAAAGGATGTCTTAAATGAACAGATGAAACAACAGTAATCCTTGTTTGATTGGTTATTAATTTGGTCATCGTGGACAAATGCTATATTTGTAGTAAAATAAATGATATTATTGGAATATGTCTTATTCAGAATAGTTGACAAGAGTCTATATAGACTATACTATATACTATAATAATTAGTATATTTATTAATAAAAAAAAGTAACTATTTTTGATTGAAAAAATATTATAATAAAAATATCGTAAAAAAAATAATAAAATTTATTGTAATTTTTTCTATTTATTAAATTAATAAAGTATAGTATGATTTACTAATAATTATAAAAAATATAATATTTTTATTATTATTTAATAATAAAAAAATAAAAAAAATGAACTAAAATAATATGCCAAAGTTGGAAGTTAAAGCAGGGCTTTTCAAAAATTTTTTCGCCAAACACCAAGGGGTGAAGATTGAGAAAGAGAAAAAAGAGGCGGAACGGCACGAACAAATGAAAGAGAAAAAAGCACTTCCCAAAAAGATGGTTGTGAAATGCAAAAAGATTCCAACCAAAATGTCCGAAGATGACGAAAAACTCACGTCATCATCTTCAGAAGAAAACTCACAAAAATCATCAGAGGAAAGTAACAACTCTGACGACAATCTCAGTGCAGAGCAAAAATCAGAGATCGAAGATAACGAAGAAAGCAAAGAAAGTGAAGAATCTCAAAGTGAAAAGAAAAACGAAGATAATGAGAAGAGTGGAACGAGCGCAACAGGAAAGGCTGAAAATTTGCCGACTGCACAGAGCGAATTTAGAGCAAAGAAGCAACAACGCGAGAAAAAAGACACAAAAAAGTTCCACCAGGATGGTTCGGACTCCGAAGAATACGAAGCAGAGGATTTGTATGATGGGTTAGATAAAGAAGGTGATGAGGACATTCTCAGAAACGAGTTAAAAAATTTTATAAAGAAGCAGGCCGACAAAGGGAATACACTCGACGACCGTTATGATGAAGAAGAAGAAAAAGACTCAAAAGCTATTCGCAAGTCGAGCAAAAAGAGGAAAAATTGATAATTTGATTGGTTTGCGTTATAGTATTTTTATAGTTTATAATACCATATATATTTGTTATATAAAATGTTATATTTTGAAAAACATTTTAATAAAATGTTATTTGTGGTTTAAGAGAAAAACATTTTTGAAAAACAGAACTTTATAATTCTAAGTTTATCGTCCGATGTACAAGAAGACATATACAATAACGTTCTGTGGGGACGAAGAATGCGGGAAGACGGCAATGATCAAAACACTTCTTCACAAAGAACACGACGCATTTCACCGTTCGACCCTTGATGAGGAGTACGACTATGAGACTTCGTTCAACAACAAAAGTTACAAATTGAAGCTTCTCGACAGCCCGGGAAACCAAGAGTATAGAGCGATGATACAGTATGACATTAAAGAGAGCGAGGGAATATTACTGTTCTTCGACTTAAGCATAGGACCGTCGTTTGTGTCACTTGACGAGTACTTCGAGTGCTTTGAAAGTGCTGAATTAGGGTTTGACACTCCAGTAGTTCTTGTCGGTAATGTTCGAAAGGGGGAACACGA